CTGGATGGTCTTGGAGCTCTTTTCCAAGCTCAGTGATCCTGGCAGTGTGTGATGTGAGCAGAGATGTTTCTTTCATTGGTCAGAAATCATAAAGTTCATCCCTGTAGCTTGGCAGAGGAAAACAAAGAGTCTCTTGGCCTAGTGGTGAAATATTTTGGTTCAGAATAAATTGTCAGAATTTTAAGTGTATCCAATGCTTTTTCCATCCACAGCAGCTCCAGCTTTGGAGGCAGCAGCAGGTGCCTGTGCTGGAGTTCAGGGGTGCCCTCAGCCATGGAATATCCTGAGCCTGAAGGGACCCACAAGGACCATCAGTCCAACTCCTGCCCTGCACAGACACCCCAGCAATCCACCTGAGAGCATTGGCCAAACACGCCCTGAGCTCTGTCAGCCTTGGGGCTGTGCCCACTGCCCTGGAGCTGTTCAGTGCCCAAACACCTCTGGGGGAAGAGCCTTTCCCTGATGTCCAAGCTAACCCTCCCCTGCACAGCTCCAGCCATTCCCTGGGTGCTGTCTCTGGTCCCACAGGGCAGAGATGGAGCTGTTCCTGCACTGCCCCTCGAGGAAGCTGTTCCCACAGCCCTCGAGGAGCCACTCTGCACTCCTGCTCTGGAACTGGCCTCCAGGCGGAAAATATTCCGAATACTTTTGGTTTGGTATCTCTGTCTTGGTTTCCTTCTCCCCAGAGTTCATCCTTCACCTGTACAGAACAACCTTCTGACTGTTTCTCGTCCATTTCCAAACGTTCTGAGGCTTTCAGGGAGTGGGGGGAAGTTGAAGTAATAAAATAATGGTAAACTAAGTCTGTTCATTTTCCTGAGAACTTGTTACAAAATAGTAGTTTTCATGGCTTTGAAGTATTTAAATTCTGCAGCACTAATTGAATTTGTGCCTGCAAAGCAGCTGAGCACAGAGGCAATGGCGAGCTCTGTGCGCTCAGATGTGGGAGGGAATAAAGCTCTAATTCATTCTTGGCCTTTCTGTTCTTGAGGCTTTGATGTGCTTGGCAGACATAGCCAAGATCACAGGCGTTTGGTGTCCAGTGGGATGCAGATCCTGGCTGGGACAGCTGCTCCCAGGGCCCTGGGTGTCCTGCCCTGCCTCACAGCCTGGAGCTGTGGGGAGGAACGGGTGAGGGCAGGGAGCAGTGAGGGGTGAGTCCTGGGAAGCACATTCCCAGAGCTTGGCCAAGAGTTTAAAATAGGAACTGGGCTCAGTTACTTGTGCCATTCCCAGTCCCATTCCATGGATCTCATGATTTGCATATCATTTTGCAAAGCTCCAGAGGGAGAGGAAAACAAATTTGCTGTCCCTGAGACCCTGAGCTGCTGAAGGATGTGATGGAAACCAGTGTTGGCCACAAGGAGTGTGTGTGGAGTCTGGGAATGAGTGGCAGGGACTGGGAGCAGCCCCAGTGTTTGGGGCTGAGGGACAGGCTGGCTCGTCCCCCACTGCCATGGAAAAGGAATTCCCAGAGACTGCCGGGGACAGTTACATGGGATGTTGGGAAGGAATTCTTCCCTGTGAGGTGCTGAGGCACTGGCACAGGGTGCCCAGAGCAGCTGTGGCTGCTCCATCCCTGGGAGTGTTCCAGGCCAGGCTGGATGGGGTTGGAGCAGCCTGGGCTGGGGGGAGGTGTCCCTGCGCATGGGCATCCCCTTGTCCTGTCCCTCTAGGTCTTGTCCCAAGTCCCTCTGCAGCTCTCCTGAGGCACTGGAAGGGGCTCTGAGGTCTCCCTGGAGCTTCTCTCCTCCAGGTGAGCACCCCCAGCTCTCCCAGCCTGGCTCCAGGGCAGAGGTGCCCAGTCCCTCTGATTGTCTCCTCTGGACCTGCTCCAGCAGTTTGTTGGAGCTGTTGTGTTTATTTCCTGTTAGAACCAGTGACTATGGGAATATTTAACTTCCTGTATCCCAGTTGAGTTTCAGGAGAGGCAGTGGGTGGGTCTGTGTTTGTTGATGGGTTTGCTGGAGAGGAGGAAGCAGGAGAGACCCAGCACCATCCCGGTGGCCTCAGGGCTGTGTGGGGCAGGAGCAGGATCTGTGCACTGGGGTTAGTCACTCTTGGTCACTGGATGTTTCTCCTAACTGGGCAGGTCTGGCTGAGGGTTGGTGCAGTGCCTTGATGATTTTACAGCTGTTCCACCCTTTGGTCCCTGAATTCCAGGCAGAGAGAGATAGGAAAGAGTTGATGATCTCAAAAACACCCAACTGCAGAAACCTGATGTGAGTGTGGATGGTGTAAAACCTCTGGTCTGTCTTAGACTTTCCTTGCAGCTCTCACTTGTATCAGTGAGAAGCTGTAAGTGCCAACTGCTTTGTCCTGGGATTGATTTTCCCTTTGATTTAGGGTAATTGGCCCTGGAATGTGCTGCCCAGGGAGGTGGTGGAGTCACCACCACCCCTGGAGGTGTCCAGGGAAGGACTGGACGTGGCTCTCAGTGCTCTGGGCTAGCTGACAAGTGGTGATGGGGCACAGGGTGGACTGGGTGACCTTGGAGCTCTTTTCTGAGCTCAGTGGTCCTGGGAGTGTGTGATTTAGTTGTGACCACTCTTAGAGCAGTGGGAAGAGGCTGAATGAATCCCAGAACATATGTGAGTGGAGCTTGGGTTGATTAGGGATCATTTGTGGCTGTTCTTTTCCATGTCAACTCCTGCTCCTCGATCCCAGCGGAGACACTCTGAAAAAGGATTTTGTTCCTCAATTCAGGAAACTGAAACTTTACCTTTGTTAGTAAAGTCTTGAGGGACTTTTGACTTATATAAAAGGTTAAATTTAGTTCAGTGTGGTTGGTATTTCTGATCAACCCTGTGAAGGTAACTAAGGCAGTGAGAAGACTTTACATTTGGTTTAAAATAGCTTCTTTTCATCCCTGCTTGTCCTTTTTCCATGTGCTTCCATCCCTCTGCTGCCTGCTGGGATGTGCCACTGGGATGTACAGGAAGGCAGGAGTCTTATCTCTCTCAGCTGTGCCTGCAGAGACTCTTTCTGGGCTAAACAGGCCTTTGGAATATTTTTATGGAGGAATTCTGGATTCTCCTCATCACCTTCCAGTGCCTTTCCTGGATAAATAATCCTTTACTGGTAGTTAGCTAATAGAAACTGTGGCTATGGATTCACTGCAGGGAAGTGGTGCTCCAGCCTGCCCTGGATCCCTTCTCCATGCTTCCCCCATGGCAGGAGGGGTAAGGAGCTGTGTCAGGGGAGCTTTGGGTTGAATATCAGGACAAGGTTCTTCCCCCAGAGGTGTTTGGGCACTGAACAGCTCCCAGGGCAGTGGTCAGGGCCCCAAGGCTGACAGAGCTCAGGGAGTGTTTGGCCAATGCTCTCAGGCACAGGGTGCACTATTGGGGTGTCCTGGGCAGGAGTTGGGCTGGTGATCCTTGTGGGTCCCTTCCAGCTCAGGAGATTCCATGATTCTAAGCTATTGTTTGGCTCTTACCCTGTGGAATCAGACAGCAAAACTTTTCCCCGAGTGTGGTCAGGCCATTCAGGCTGTGCTCCATGGGGTGATTCCCTTGGAAAACCTTTTGGGCTGTTCCTGGAGCAGCAGTTTAACTGTTGGTCCTCAGGGTGTGATTTCAGTCCACACTGCTTGGGCTCTGCTCAGCTTACCATTCCTCGGGTTTAAAACACCTTGGGATCCATGAGTTGGGGCCAACGGTGTGAGGGTCACCCAGGCCAAGTGCTGGTCCTGCCCAACCCCATGGGACACTCCAGACTGGGGCAGAGGAGCTGGAAAGCTGGAGAAGGCCCTGGGGGTGCTGTGCCAGTGGCTGGACATGAGCCCAGGGGTGCCCAGAGGGGCAGAGGCCAATGTCCCGTGGTTTGGAGCAGGCCCAGAGCAGGGACCGTCCTTTTGAGGCGCCTCCAGGCCTGGGGCAGCTCTGGGCCCTCAGGACAGCAGAGACATGGAGGGGCTGGAGGTGTGCAGGGTAGGGCATGGAGCTGGGAAGGGGCTGGAGCAGCAGGAGAGGCTGAGGGAGCTCTGGGGGCTCAGCCTGGAGAAAAGGAGGCTCAGGGGAACCTTCTGCTCTCCCCAACTCCTGCCAGGAGGTGCAGCCAGGTGGGGTCAGGCTCTGCTCCCAGGGAACAGGGACAGCACAAGGGAAACACCTCAGGCTGTGCCAGAGGAGGCTTTGGTTGGACATCAGAGTGTATAGTCTTCAAATCCAGTAAAATGCTGAAGAGTTTCACTCAGGTCAGTGACTTCACTTCGGGTGACTGTTGTACCTCCAACTCAGTAATTCCTGATAAGAAGATGAGGAAATATTTTGCTGTCAGCACTGTATTTTCTTTCCAATGGACACAGGCACTGGCAGCTGGTTTTAATTTCCAGTTGTGCCCCAGAGCACACTAGGAGCTCCTGGATCCATGGGATATGCTCAGTCCCAGCTCTGTAGTGCTGGGGGAGCTCAGTGGGCTGAACTGAGTCTAGTTCTTGCTGCTTCCTTCTCTGAATCACCTTCCACCAACCCAGGTTGCTCCAGCCCCATCCGGCCTGGGGGATCCACCTTTCCCAGTGCTGCAGAAGGAGGGTGACTGGGCTAGCTGGACGGACGTGTGACACAGTGGTGATGGCATCTGTCACCTCCAGTCTGGCTCTGGTTCTCCTTTGGGCTGGAAGCGGGAGTGTATTTAGGGAAAAGAGAAAAAGCTTTGGTTTATGGTAACTTTTAACAATGTTTTCCAGGATTGGAAGCCTGGGAGGGAATTCATACTGGATGGAAACCATTTCCTGAACTGGGGAGAGTCCAGGAACAGTGACCCAAATGTTTCTCTGTCCGTGGAGAAGATTTCACATTTGAAGTAACTTCTACTGAAGGTAAGAGATCTCCCTTTGCTTTGGGCATGGAATGGGTTGGGGTGGGAAAAACCTTAAAACTCATCCCATCCCACCCCTGTCCAGGCAGGGACACCTCCCACCAGCCCAGGCTGCTCCAACCCCATCCAGCCTGGGCT